AAAAAAAAAAAAAAAAAAAAAAAACAAAAACCAATAATTATCTTTACTTCTCAAATACTCTGAGGCAGGAGAACACTTGGAAATGTGCTCCATTCTCCATATGAAATTTCATAAAGCATTTTCAAGCTTGGGCTGGGGATACAGCTCAGTGGTAGAGCGCTTGCTCAGCATGTGCAAGGCCCTCGGTTTAATCCCCGGCACTACGGAGTTAAAACTAAAAACCTAAAACTCCAAGAATTATCGAAAACTGAGGAGTACAGTAAGTTCCAAGTGTCCAGTGCTAAGTTAACTCAAATATCTCCTCTTTCTTTATATATATAATATATATTTCTTAAAATTATATATATATTTTAAATTCTTATTTTATATATGTGAATGTTTTGATTGCAATGTATGTATATGCATACCTGGTGCCCACGAAAACCAAAGTGGGCATCCCTTAGAACTAAAGTTACAGATGGTTTGAGCCTCCATGCGGGTACTGAGAACAGAACCCAAGTCCTCTGGAAGTGCATGCAACCAGTCTTCCTAACTACTAAGCTATCTTCCAGATCCCAGCTCAAACATACCATGTAAGGAGCAATGGATACTTGAATTCAGTCAATCTGAAGCCAGAGCCAGAAGATTAAACCTCCATATTAGACTAGCTCCTCTAAATTGGGACGCACAGCAACTATAAACCATGGGTTTCCATAAACAGAAGAAAGAACAAAAAGAACTGTCAGTTTAATTATTTTTAAGACTGGTTGCCAAAACTGGGCTAGGGAGATGGCTCAGTTGATAGAATGCTTGCCATGCAACGTGATGACTTCCAACCACCAGCAGCACCCACATGAAAGTTAAGCTTAAGTGTGGCAGCATGTGCCTATAATCCCAGTGCTAGAAAGGCAGAGGCAGACAGATCTCTGGGCCTTGCAAGACAGCCAGTTGTAGTGATTTGAAATAAAATGGCCCCCAAAGAGAGTGGAACTACTAGGAGGTGTGGCCTTGTTGAGTAGGTATGGCCTTGTTAAAGGAAGTGTGCCACTGTGGGGGTTGGGCTTTGAGGTTTCCTATGCTCAGGATACTGCCCAGTGTCTCAGTTGACTTCCTGTTGCCTGCAAGATGTTGGACTCTCAACTACTTCTCCAGCATCATGTCTGCCTGTACACCATCATGCTGCTCAAATGATAATGGGGTAAACCTCTGAACTGTAAGCAAGCCACCGCAACTAAGTTTTCCTTTATGAGAGTTGCTGTGGTCATGGTGTCTCTTCACAGCACTAGAAATCCTAACTAAGACACCAGTCTAGCATAGTATAAGGGATGGAAACTGCAGGCTTGTGCATGCTAAGCACAGTGGCTACAAATCAAGGCCTGTTAAGTACTCTAATATCAGACAGAGTATCAACACAAGGACATTTACTAGCATTTTAAATAATTTCATTCTGAACATTTAATGTTTAAATTATCCTTTCAGTCATAATCACAAGTCTTAACAGACTTGGCTTCATTATCCTCAGAGCTGTGGCATAGTTTGTAAACTCCAAACTAAAAAGCAAAATTTAGTGTTTCATTCATTAAATCACAAATAAACTATAATTCAGGCAAATGATAATAGTAAGCCATTTTTTGTCTTTAATTAGTGACAAAAAAATGAAACAAGGAGGGGCCTATTTGCAACAAGGAAGTATTTTTTTACCTTACAAAATTATAGACTCCTTTTCATTTGTAAAGATGTATCCAAAATATAGCTGGAGATTCTGAGAGTTTACAAAACTCTCCCTGCTTTTATGAGATAATGATGATAAATTTATCCCATGTTCGTATAATTCAATGAATGTCACTTAAAGAAAAGCCAACAAAAAGGAGTGATTTGCTAATGCCAGAGAGCAGGTCTACTATAAAGCCATTCTTTGGCTGTAATTCCACTACATGGTGACAAGTCTGAATCAATAAAGCTTTCATTACGCCCAAAGCATACAGCAACAGATCCATCAAGATTTTTATACTACTCAATGAAAGTGCTCTTTCTCAAGTCATTCCCCACAAAATTGTCATAAAATCTGTACCACCATTAGCAATATGTAAGATAAAATGGGCAAAGCCTCACCTATATGAACCAGGAAACAAATCTAGGTACACTTTCTCCTTCACTCAAATGGCAAAAGATTCTATTGTTTATTTCAGTAAAACCTAAACTTAGATTTAATAAATCTTAAAATTTCACATGTAGTTGATTTTTTTTGTTCCATATTTTGAGCAATCTGTCTATTAAAAAATTTGGACTAAACCAAGTAGATCAGTCATTCAGGCTTAAAGAAAGGCAAAAGTTTTACATCCATACTATTTGCTTTCCCAGAAAAAGAACAGCCAGGTGTGGCTGTGCAAGCTTATAATCTCAGCACCTAGGAATCTGAAGCCGGAGGAGTGCCATGAGCTGGAAGTCAGCCTGGGCTACATAGTGAGACCCTATCTCAAAAATCTAAAAAGAAAGATGATGTTTAGAGTGATTTCAATCACCAATCCTGGTAATAAATTTCTCAGATTCAACTATTCCACATATCAAGCTCTCATCGTTTAATTTCAAGTCTGCATTCAACAGCAGATTCTGTTGTCTTCCAGGACTGGTGGAACATGTCTAGATTCCCAGATGCTCAAGAGACTAAGAAAGGAGGACTGCCCAAGCTCAGTTAGAGGCAAGGCCTAGGAGTTAGAGCAAGACTCTGTTTTGGGAAAGAGAGACAGAGACAGAGACTAAGAGACAGAAAGACAAGGAGAGGGGGGAGAGGGAGAAAAAGAAAGTGACAGCATCTCACTGTAATATCAACTCCTACCTGGCTATGTCATACACACGGTCTGCAATCCGACTTCCAACCTGAAAGATTTCAAGAGTCAATGGGTTAAATACACGGAGTAGGTTTAACAGAGGAGTAACATTCTTTTTTCCTAAGATTCAGTTTACGTTCAAAATGGTAAGTACTTTGCATCCAATTTTCTATTTTCCCACAGCAACTTTCTTTATAAATACTGGATATGGATAAAATAATATAAAACATAATAAAATATCCCTGGAAACAAACTGAAGTAAATTACTTTAGAGCCAATTTAATAAAACCAAAATTAAACCATCTGCTGGGTGTGGCAGCTTATGTATATAGTCCTGTCTGGAACATATACTAGTTCCAGCCTAGTCTATATTATAAAGACCCTTGTCTCAAAAACAACATAAACACAGGGAGGCTGAAGCAGGTGATCTCTGTGAGTTCAAGGCCAGACTGGTATATATTACACAGTGAATTCCAGGACAGCCAGGCCTACAGTGAGATCTTGCCCCAAAACAAACAAGACCAAAACCTGCTCTAAATAATCTTAAAAACTAGGTTTAGTTTTTGGTTTTTCAAGACAGGGTTTCTCTGTGTAACATCCCTGACTGTCCTGGAACTCGCTTTGTAGACCAGGATGGTCTCAAACTCAGAGATCCTCCTGCCTCTGCCTCCTGAGTGCTAGGACTAAAGGTGTGAGCTACCATTGCCCAGCATAGAAGAGGGCATCTTAATTAAGAAAATGTCTCCATAAGATTAGCCTGCCGGGCGGTGGTGGCGCACGCCTTTAATCCCAGCACTCGGGAGGCAGAGCCAGGCGGATCTCTGTGAGTTCGAGGCCAGCCTGGGCTACCAAGTGAGTTCCAGGAAAGGCGCAAAGCTACACAGAGAAACCCTGTCTCGAAAAACCAAAAAAAAAAAAAAAAAGATTAGCCTGTAGGCCAGTCTGTAGGGCATTTTCTTGATTAATGATGGATGTAGGAAGATCCAGCTCTTTATGAGTGGTGCTACCCCTAGGGCAAGTGGTCCTGGATGATACAAGAAAGCAGGCTGAACAAGCCATGAGGAGCAGGCCAGTAAGCAGCATTTCTCTAGGGCTTTTTCTAGTTCCTGCCTCCAGTTCCTGGCCTGACTTCCCTCAGAACTGAAGTGTAACTTGGAAGTTGTAAGATAAACCCTTTCTTCTTCAAGTTACTTTTGATCATAGTGTTTTATCACAGCAATAGAAACCCCAACTCAGACAAATACAACTGATACATTAGCATGAGATACATTAAAATACAAAATTATTCACTTGGCTAAGGATTATAAATCAGTATATAACTGATCACTTAATAAAAACTTAGTACAAACTTTGTGTAACTGCTAAATGAATTAACCACGCTTTTGTTTTGTTCTATCTGAGAAAGGGTACCCAGGCTGGCTTTGAACTCAAAACAACCCTCTAATCCCCCACCTTCAGCCTCCTGAATGCCAGGATCACAGACATGTGTCACCATACTCAGCCAATCTACATTAACAGCTTTTTTTTTTTTTTTTTTTTTTTTAGTAACTTTTGCAAATTAGTAAGCACCAAGTCTGGAAAAGTATAGATGACCAGCTCCCCAGCACACTATAAAAGAAGTCGAATGGTAAGTGCCACCCACCCTTCACTAGGCTAGTGACATCTGGCATGATTCCACTCAGTCTTTAATAAACATTCCGGGGCTGTGATTACTATTTGAAAGCTCAGAACATAGCTGTTTTCATTTTGAGAGGGTGATGGGCAAGAGCTACATCGAAGTCTTTGCCCTGCACAGCCCACTTTGTACGTCATTCTAAATGGCAATACCTTTTACTTACTTCAAAAACGACTTTCATATGCTTTACTGAAAATATTCTAGTTCTGCACATTCACAAGGCTCCAGTAGGCTGTAATCCAGGTGCTTTTCTTGAACAGAAAGAGGTACTTATGGAAGGGCCCCTATAGGTCCTCTCAGGCTGTCAGGAGTTCTGTACTTATCTCTTCTTTTTCCTAGGATACTCGAACTATCTCCCATCTCAGCTCGACTAATTTCTCACACTTTTCGCCATAGCAGCCGTTCTTGACCATCCTAGTCACCAATTCCACCATTTCACTTTTTCTTCTCCTTACTTTGGCTGAAATTACATCCCTGTCTATGCCTGTCTCGCGCCCTCTCCTTAATGCTATCCTGCAAAGGCGGGGGGTGAGGGGGGTGAGGCGGGGAGCGGGAGGATTGCTTTGCCCTGGAACTCAGGCCGTACTTGCTAAGCGAATGAGTGATTGTCATGCACGCTAGCCGAGCCTCGTCCTTTCAGCATAGGAAGGCCCACAAAGGTGAGGCTTCTTCTCAAGGTCACACGGCCGGGTGGGTCGGTCCGCCCTGCCGGGCTGCGCGCCTCCAAGCGCCGCGGTCCCGCAGTCTCACCTCCTCCTTCAGGTAGTCAAATTTCCTAGGCTCAGGCTGCCGGGCTGCCCAGTTTTTCTGCTTCCTCTTCAATTCCCTGTCGAAGATGTTTAGGGCTCTGGGCGAGGTGCTGCCCGAAGGAGGGACACCGGACGCTACCTCCCTGCGACCACAGCTCCCGGCAGAGACCGCCGGGCCCCCAAGCCTCGGGCTTAGGCGCCAAAGCACGACCGGCCGCAGCATCTCCAGGAGCGGCGCCACAGCAGGGCATATTTTCTCTTGTGCGCATGCACCGGGGCGGGGGGACTACGGCTAGCACAATGATACACAATTATTGCAAGCGGGAAAGACAGGGCTGAAGTAGTTTGGCCCAGTTCGCGTGCCGTCACGGCGGAGTGTCGCGCGAAGGATTGTGGGTGTGCGCTCCATGTGAACTCAGACCGGGATCCGAAGAGAGAACCGAGGAGCTGCGTGGGTCTCCGACGGGATCTCCTTGGGATCTGTGAGTAGTGCGCCTCTTGTTTGGTCCCTTTCTGGCCTCATTGTTCTCTTCAGGGCTGCTCTCCGAGAGACCTCGGCCGAGTAACTTTCCCCGAAAGTTTGTGAGATGGGAAGGTGGTTCCGGAACCAGCTGGCCTGGAGCTCCCGGTAGGGATGAGGGGAAGCGTTTGTAGTGAGGTCGAGTTGCCTTCGCTCCTCTGAACATCCGACGTTTGTCGAGGGCTTCAATTTCCAGCGTTTACAAGCACTACCTCTGGTTGTTGGATGCCGTGATATCTATATCGTAAAGCTATTCAAAGATTAAGTGCTGTAGTACCTCTGAAATTTACCAGCGCAGCCGTGAAGTTTTATGTTTCTCTCGTTAGAATGTAAAGGATTTTGAAGTAAAGCAGCCCTGCCCTGTGTGATGGCGGAGCACACCTGTAATCCCAGTATTGGGGCAGAGACTGTTCACAAGGGAACAGTATGCATTTGTACAAACATCTGTGCGTTTTCATATGTTTATAGCGGATCAGCCTTTCTAGACCTTAGTCACTTCGAGAATAAAACGTTATAAGAAAATGACATTTGGAACTGGTGAGATGGCTCGAAGGTTAAGAACACTGGCTGCTCTTCTAGAGGACCAGGATTCAATTTCCAGCAACCACGTGATGGTGGACAGTCCATAAAACCAGTTCCAGGGTATCAGAACTCACCAGGCCTCCGTGGGCAGCAATCACAGAACTGGTACTCAGACATACATACAGGGATAACACCCATACACATGAAAAAATTTAAGAAAAAGAAGGTAACATTTGTTAACTGTAGTGCGAGACATTTTTATTTTCCTTGAATTTTTCGAGACAGAGTTTCTCTGTGTAACAGTCCTAGCTGTCCTGGAACTCGCTTTGTAGACCAGGCTGGCCTCAAACTCAGAGATCCTCCTGCCTCTGCCTCCTGAGTGCTAGGATTAAAGGTGTGCACCTCCACCACCCAGCAGTGTGAGACTCTTAATTTGGTTCTTAATAGATGGAAGGATTTACAGAAGGAACCCTGAGGTAAATCTAGTTTGATCCTCCCCTTCCCCCCCATTAGTTATGAGACAACTTTGTAGAACTAAGAGCTGTTGAAAATATAAAGATTAACAATGAGAATGGAACAAAGTATGAAAAACAAATGAGACTAACTGAGATTTAAGAATATTTTATTTCTCTTTCTCTATGTGCGTGCGTGTGTGCGTGTTGCATGTGTGTTGCATATGCAGTTGCTCACATCAGGCCACATGCACTGTGTGCTCATGTTTGGGAGAGTGCTTGCTCTCCACCTTATTTTTTGAGATAGAATCTCTCATTGGAACCTGAAGCTCTTAAAGTAATCTGAGTTGGATGACCAGGGATCTTCCTACCTCTGGTTACCCCAGCCACCCAGCACTGGGATTACAGGCATGCAGGGTTTTTATGTGTGTTCTAGGGGATCAAATCCATATCTTATTTGTGCAGCAAGCACTTCACTGACTGAGCCTTATCGCAACCATCAATCTTTGGTTTCTTGAAACAGTCTTGCTATGTATCCCAGGCTGACCACCAGTTCCCTGTGTAACTGTGTAAGGTCTGGCCTCAAACTCATGATAATCATGTCTGCCTTTAGAATCCTGATTTTACATGTGTGTGACTCCACCTTAGTAACTGTTTAATTGATAACAAATACAATCTAGAAATACAGAAATTATGAGGGCATTCAGCTACTAAACATTGCCCTCCACAAAGCCCTAGGATTCTCTTTGCTTTGTCTTATATTTGTTTCAAGTGATCTGTAATGTAAGGATTATATTTTACTATGTTTTTTTTAATGTCCAGAATAGGTTGGTTTTCTGAAATTAAGTTTAAGTTCCTTAATTTTATGTAAATTTAGTGTTTAAGTGTGTGTGTGTGTGTGTGTGTGTGTGTGTGTGTGTATGTATGTGTGTGTGTGCATACACAGTGAACAAATGTGGTTTTGTTTTTTTATATTTTAGTTGTATTATTAACCATTCATCATTGTAATATATATTTTATTTTTCAGTGTTTGGTTTTTCTGGATATTTCTTCAGTAAGACTTTAAAAATGTCATCCAAACAAGAAATAATGAATGACCAGCGGTTTAGGCGGGTTTCAAAGGATCCCAGATTTTGGGAAATGCCAGAAAAGGACCGAAAAGTCAAAATTGACAAGAGGTTTCGAGCCATGTTTCATGACAAAAAATTTAAATTGAATTATGCTGTTGATAAAAGAGGGCGCCCTATCACCCACAGCACTACGGAAGACTTGAAACGCTTCTATGAGCTTTCAGACTCTGATTCTGATCTCTCTGATGAAGAAAGCAAAGTACTGAACCAAAAAAAAGTAAAGCAGAAACAAAAACAGACCAAAAAAGAAGCAAAGTCAAAAATGCTGATTGAGGAGAAAAAGAAAGAAACCAAAAAAATTGATCAAAAGGATCCTATAAATAAAAATGACTTAGATAATTCTGAAAAAATTCAGAAAATGAAAAGCTTGTGTAAATCACAGAAGATAGATTCAGAAATAAGTCCCAAGAAGGATAGTGAAGAATTTCTGCAAAATACAAAAAAGAAAGGGAGCATCACTAACCACAGTGCAGACTCTTTGCCTAAAGGAAAACAAAGGACCAAAGATTCTAGTACCTCTGAAATTGTGAAATCTCCAACAATCACTGGTTCTAAGGCAAAAAGAGAAAAGCAATCAGGTTGGTTGGGAGTGCTGATTCTTCTGTATTACACTATTTTATTGATATCTCCTTAAGAAGTACACAATAATTATTTTTGTAGTATGATGAGAATGGTCAAATGTTTATTATATGCTATGAAAGAAACAATATGCAATGATTTCTTCTAGTTTTGGTACCAGAAGACAAACATGAAAGCTTGGGTAAATGATTTTGGTTTCTAGTGAGCAATGCTGAGAGCTGCTATATGTTGTTATATAGGAAGAGATGTTTGAAGAAGGTAAGTAGAGTTGGATAGTCGTTCATTTAGTCTGTTCAGCTACTGAGTGACAACTACTATAAGGCATGGACCCCCTCCTTTAGGATTATTGCTAGCTTATATGATGTCTTTTGCAAATTAGAAAATTGCATGTCCTCTGACCACATAGACACAACGTGCTCTGGGATTCATAGTTTGGTGAGAGGATGGCAACTTTGAGTGAAACAACATGTTGATTTCCCTTGAGGAAGCATGGCATCTGCAGAGTACATGACTTGATGAATTGAGACTAGATTAATCTTAGCTCTTTTTTCCCTTTTGGCAGATAACAACCTGCTAAACTCTGTATGATGACCCTGGTCTAATGGCACTGTCCACTAGAAATACATAGTGATGTATTTCCTAGTAGTGGCATTAAATAGGAAAAATAAGCACTTGAAATAATTTTATTTATTTAAATCCAGTAAATCCAAATTTCATTTCTATGTAATTAATGATAACAAATTTATACTTTTATATTTTAGCATTAATCTCAAATTGAAAGAGCCATTTTTCAAGCGCTAAATTGTCTCTTTAGACTGTTAGCTACCATATTAGACAGCATAGACCTAAAGTAGAAAAGTCAAACCTGTAACACAAAATACTATAACAGAAGGTTTGTAAGTGAGATGGAAAAAATTCAAAAGTTGTTAATCAAAATATAATCAGAGAAAAATTCCTAAGGAATCCATTATTTCTATTGGGATTTTGGGGTGGGCGTGATTGGGACTAAGTTTGAGAACCAAAATACTTTTTGAGCAGATTTAGGATTGGATGTATGTAGATCAGTGGTCCCATTCTTTTAGACAGTAGAGTATTAAAGAGGTTTGTAGTTTTAATCCAAATAGTATCTGTAAAGTCTTCTTACTATAAATACCTCCCTGTATCCTGGCATGCTAATAAATGTCTGTAATCCCAGCAGTTGGAAGATAAGTCACAAGGATCAGGAGTTCTAGGTCATCCACAGCTACATAGTGCTCTTGAGGCCAGTGTGGGCTACATGAGATCCTGTTTTAAATTGAACAGGCGAGTGGCTCAACAAGTAAAGGTGCTTGCTGCTCAAGCCTTGCAGCCCGAGTTTGATCCTCAGTATCCATGGAAAGGAGGAAGTAGAGAACTAACTCCACAAAATTGTGCTGACCTGAGCACATGACATGTCTGCATCCTCCCCACCCACCATGCACAAGCACATCGTGCACAGCCATGCAAACAAAATTTTTTTAAAGCTGTTTGTATGTATATGTATGTACTGTGGAGATCAAAGAAGAGGGCATTAGATCCCTGGAACTGGAGTTACAGGTGGTTAGGAACCACCGTGTGGATGCAGGGAACCAAACCCAGATCTTCTACCACTGAGCCATCCTCCAGCTCCCCTGTAGACAAGTTTTAATGCCTCAATATGGTACATTAACTCAGATTCATTAATCAATAATTACTCTTTGTTTATGAACCCATCAAGGGCATAGAGCTTATAAATTCCCTCTTGCCTTCGCTAGTTCAATGTTTTACACATTGTAGGCAATAAGTAGTGGATTAATGAATAAATATTATAAAAAATAGTATTAAAATAAAAACAAATTTCACTCTTCATCTTAATTTTTAAAATTTACCTTGCATTCTCCAAACTTAGAGCCTCTGGAGTAAGCTGAAACAGGAATACCAGCTTAAACATAGTGCATTAGACACATGCAGAGGTGATTGCTGTTAGAAGTAGAAGATGAGCTCTTTCAGAGCTGTGAAAGAAAAATGAAATCCTATTTAAACAAAACATCTTGGTGTGTGGTTAACTAGCAGTTATAAAATGTCAGAGTTAGCAGAAAGTTTTTATTTATTATTTCTATTTGGTGATCTCATTCATAATGCAACTTCTTTTGTCAGTTATGTATGAATGAGTTATAAATTTTATCTCCAGCTCACACTTTACTGAGCATATCTCTTACAGTAAACAGCTTTATTGATGTTTTCTGTTACATGACTCAAAGGCACTTTGTTTTGTGGTTCTAGAGATCAAACCTAGTGCTTTGGACATGCTAAGCAAGCACTCTATTAACCTTGAAGACACTTTAATTCAAATATCCAGAACTTAACTAAAGTAAAGTCTCTTCCTCAAATTAGTTACTTTCCAGTGTACCATGTTTACCTGTCTAGCCAGCTAGCTGGCTGTGTCTGTAAGCTAGGAAGGCAGGCCTCATTGACACTTCTAAAACTGTTGTTCCCCATGTCAAATACCCCTGTCACTATACTATCTGGTTTTACCAAAGCTTTTTTCACTTTGCTACATTTCTACTGCCATCAGCTTTATATTGCCTTCATGTCTTGTGTAGAGTTCTATACTGTCCCTCGATTTTTATTATTCATACCCACTCTACCCCTCCAGTTTTCTGCAGTGTAATTCAGATGATATCTCGGTGTGCCAATCTAGTAGTGTGTCCTATTGGAAATGGAGCAGTGGCAAAGCCCATCTGTAGCTGAAAGTTTTTCTGTGTCCCACCCGGTCCTGCACCCGCTCAGACCCAAATAAACACACAGAGGCTTATATTGTTTTTGTTTTTTTTTTTTTTTTTTTGGTTTTTCGAGACAGGGTTTCTCTGTGTAGCTTTGCGCCTTTCCTGGAACTCACTTGGTAGCCCAGGCTGGCCTCGAACTCACAGAGATCCGCCTGGCTCTGCCTCCCGAGTGCTGGGATTAAAGGCGTGCGCCACCACCGCCCGGCATATTGTTTTTAAACTATGGCCATGGCAAGCTTCTTGCTAGCTAGCTCTTATATCTTAAATTAACTCATTTCTATAAATCTATACCTTGCCATATGGCTTGTGGCTTACCAGTACTTTACATCTTGCTTCTCCTGTGGGTGGCTAGCAGCATCTCCCAGCTCTTTCTCCTTCCTCTCTCTAGTTAGTGTCCTGCCTAACCTTATTCTGCCTCACCATTGGCCAAACAGCTTTATTTATCAACCAAGCAGAACAATACATATTCGCACCATACAGAACATCATCCATCACCCATCCCCTTTATCATGCTTCCGTGTTAACTCCTTAGACCTGTTTGTTACTTGACTCCTTGCTAGCTACAGACCACACATGAGTGCTGCTATTTTGTAATTGACAATTCTTTACAGATGCTTTTCTTACTGCTTGGAACAAATTTCCTTCATCATCTTTCTCACTTTGATTACTTAATTTCTCTTCACCCTTTAGTTAGCTGTTGAGTAGTTCTTGGAAGCTTTAATGCTTGTAGAGTAGTTTCATTTTATGTGTGATTTGCTTGTTTAATACTTGTCACTTATTCAACTGGAAATAAATTGACACCTTTTTTTTTGCCAGTGGTTGTATATTAAATACACCACAAAGCAGGTATTCCATGAATACTAAATGAGTATATAAACACACTTACATCATCTTATAAATGTTATGATTTCACTTAAATAACTTGCTATAGCATGAGTTTTACTGAGCTTATGTTCCTTTTCTCTGTTTTGTAAATGTTATACTGGATCTAATGTCAATAATTTGGATTTAATATAATTCAGAATGTATGTCTCCTTTCTCCCTCCCCCAATATGCTGAAGTGCTTCCAATCAGAATGGCAAGAGACAATGATGGTAAAATGCTGGACAAAGATGCCCTGGAGGAAGATTCAGACAGTGATAGTGAAATAGGAAGTGATGAGGAATCTGAAGGTGAAGTCACAAGTGATGATAGAACTTCAGCTGATGATGATGAAAATGAAGACGAAGAAGAGGAAGATGAGGATAGTGAGGATGATGATGAAAGTGACAGTGGTCCTGATCTTGCAAGGGGTAAAGGAAATATAGAAACTAGTTCTGAAGATGAAGATGATTTTGAAGATTTATTTCCAGAAGAACCTGGTTTTGAACATGCTTGGAGAGAATTAGATAAAGATGCTCCTCGGGCTGATGAGGTAACATTTTCAGTAAATTATTTATGAATAACAGAACAGTTAGCTTTTATGGGTGATAGGGTTGATATTATTGAATTAACTAGGAAAGAACTGAACAGCTAATTCAGTGATGGAATTCTTGGCTAGCATGTGTAGGCTAAATAAAGCAGGGCTTGGTGGCGCACACCTATAGTAGCACCACTGAGGAAGCAGGAAAATTGCAGTAAGTTTAAGGTCAGCCTGGAATACATAGTGAGTTCTAAGCTAACTTGGATTATAAACCCGCTCAGTAAAACCCTATCTCAGAAAAGAAAAGTAAACAAAAGAAAGCATTAAAAATAAATTGAGTGAAGCTTCACTGGTAAAAATATTTGTGGGACTTGTTTGTTTTTGATTAAACTCAGGGCCTCCTATCTGCCAGGTAAGATATCTGCCAGTGAGCCACATCATCAGACCCTGGCAGAATTAATGATGATTAAGAGTTAAGGACTGGAGATAAACTCAGTGGTACAGCACTTACCCAGCATGTACAAGCCTCTTAAGTTCGATTCCAACACTAGAAAGAATAAACACCTTGAAATGGAGCTAGTGTGTGTAGATTAGATGTGTGTCCAAGCAGATAAAATGGGAAAGAAGTTCTTTTCCTTTTATCCCTTTTTGTTGTTGTTGTTTTTTGAGAGTGTTTCTTTTGTAAAATGCTGTTTTTAATTTTTAAAGATAGCATGTAAAGTAATGTACCTTGCTGTGGCATTTTCATACATTTATGCCAATATACTTGGTTCCTGCTCATCTTCCTTCCATTCTGCCCTCTCCATCCTTTCTGCCCTGCTCTTATTCATCCATTGCCTCACCCCAAATAGTTCCCCCTTCTGCACATGTATTCCTTCATTATCTTTTCCCCAACTCTTCCTCCACTGTCATGGACCTTTTCTAGTTTCATGATGTATATACACACAAATTTAAATCTGGATTTAGCAGGCTAGGGAGATGGTTCCATCCATAAAGTGCTTGTTTATAAGGACCTAAGTTTCAGTGACACAAAAATAGTAGGATCCTAAAGGCTAATGGCCAGCCAGTCTAACCAACCAGTGAGCTTCAGATTTGGTAAGAGACCCTGTCTTTAAAATAAATAACGTGGAGCCAGGTGTAAGTGGCACAATTTAATCCCAGGATTTTGGAGGCAGAGGCAGGTAAATCTCCTGAGTTTGAGGCCAGCCTGATCTGTATAGTAAGTTCCAGGACAGCTCGAACTACATAGTCAGACCCTGTCTTCTTTAATAATAATAGTAATAACAACAACAACAACATACAGAGTGATCAAAGAAGACACAATAGTGTCAACCTCCAGCTTCTGTATGTAAAACACACACACACACACACACACACACATGCGCGCGCGCGCGTATCAAAAAGTAAAAACCTAGCAAAAAAGAAAACATGAAGTATATGTTTTCTGAGGCTGGTATATCTCATTTAACACAGTTTCTAATACCATCCTTTTTTCTGCAAAGGTCATAATTTCATTTTTATTTTTTCCTTTTTTATTTGCGTTTGTGGTGTTGGGGGCTGCATAGGCAGACATCAGGTGTCCTCAATTGTTCCCCACCTTATTTGGTTGAATTGGTTTGGTTTGGGGTGGGTTTTCTTTTTTGTTTGTTTTTTGTTTTTGTTTTTGTTTTTTAATTAGTTTTTGGTTTTTGGTTTTTTGAGACTGGGTTTAACATCCCTGGCTGTCCTGGAACTCACTGTGCAGACCAAGCTAGCCTTGAACTTACAGAGACCCACCTGCCTCTGTCTCCCAAGTACTGGGATTAAAGGTGTGTGCCACCCTTTCCAGCTCTCCCTTATTTGGAAGTCAGGTCTCACTGAAGACAGAGCTCACTAATTCAGCTAAACTGACTGCTTAGCAGCCTGAGGGATACTCCTGTCCCTGCCTCCCACATACTGGGTTATAGGCATATTCAACTTTCAAATTTTAATTTGGGTTCTGGGATCTGAACTCAGGTCTCCTGCTTGTTCAGAAAACAATATGAACTGAGCCATCATTCTAGTCACCTGAGTAGGTTTCTGTTTTGTTTTTGTCTTTGTTTTTTAATGTGTTTAGTGAGCATATGTTAATTATACATAATAATGGGTTCATTATGACATACATGTTCATACATGTATTAATGTATTTTGATCATTCATTCCTATGATTATCCACTCTCATCCTCTCCCCACGCCCACTAGTCTACTTCCTGTTGGGTCATAGGCCCTAAGGAGAAAGCTACAGCTTTGCTAAGTGGACATGATGTGCCTGCTGAATTGTCTCCAAGTTACTAAGTTTATTCCCAGAAATGAGTGCTGCTGTCAGCTTAGTCAGAGAAGCTCCTTTTTACAAGGAGCAGCAGCAGTTACAAAGAATAAGTGACTTGATTGCTCAGGTATAAAGGGGACATTTATCTCACACACACACACCCTCCAAGTCTTGGAGAACATTCTAGGAGATAGAGTGGAAGGTCCAGGAATGTCCATGTAGAGCCTTTAGAAACCTTCAAGTATGTGATTATGTTGAAAATAGGGATGTTTGACTTCTTTTCCTGTATGTATCCCTTAAGTCAGTGGTTCTCAACTCTCCTAATGCTGTGACCCTTTAATTCAGTTCCTCTTGTGGTGACCCCAACCATAAAATTATTATCACTGCTACTTCTTAACTGTAATTTTGCTACTGTTATAATTTAATGTAAATATTGTAATGTAAATATTTTTGGAAATCGAGGATTGCCCAAGGGGTAGCGGCACACAGGTTGACAACCTCTGGCTTAAGTACTATTTTGAATCAGAGTAGAGAAATTGGACACCATTATCTCCTTCCTGATTTTAGAAGACATGCTTTTCAATTTTCCCTGTTTAGTATAATGTTGGATATACATTTGTCATCTATAGACTTTTTATGTCAAGAAGTGTTCCTCCTATTCCTGATTTCTTTAGGAATTGTATCATGAATTTATGTTGATCTTTGTCAAAGGCCTTTTGATACAGAACCTTTCTGTGAATACTTGGCTGGCCTTGAGCCTACTGTGGTCCTGCTTCTTCTGCCTCCCTCTGGAGTGCTGGGATCTCAGGTATGTGTGCCGTCCTGTTCAGGAAGAATTTCTACATAAGTCATTTAAAATACATAAAAGCAGCTTTAGATTTGTTTTTGCTAGGAGTTTGTATTTATGTTCTTATTGCACCATAAGAAATGCTCTGGCCGGGCAGTGGTGGCGCACGCCTTTAATCCCAGCACTCGGGAGGCAGAGCCAGGTGGATCTCTGTGAGTTCGAGGCCAGCCTGGGCTACCAAGTGAGTTCCAGGAAAGGCGCAAAGCTACACAGAGAAACCCTGTCTAAAAAAAAAAAAAAAAAAAAAAAAAGAAATGCTCTGGAGTAACCCATTTCCTCACTCTGAACTGGTGATAAACTATCTTTAAAACTGTTGTGGTTAAAACATCAGTTTGTGATCACACCCTGGTTCAAGAACTCCAAAAACCAATTTAGAGATAGTGCTTATCGCTTGTGGTTTTCCTATTGTTTGCCCCACATGACGCTCCCTCTGCATGTTAAATCAGTTAAATAACACAGATGATTTCAGAACTGGAGAAAGACTATACTACATTGTTTATCTTTCTTTTTTCAACCATTGAAAATGATACAGATCCCAGCACTTGGGAGGCAGAAGCAGGTAGATCTCTGTGAGTTCAAGGCCAGGCTGGACTGTATAGTAAATTCCAGGACAGGCCTAGATTACATAGTGAGACCCTGTCTCAAAAAAAAAAAAAAAAAAACAAAAACAGATTCTATAATAATTAATAATACTTTAACTTTCTCAGATTACACACCGACTAGCAGTTTGCAACATGGACTGGGATAGATTAAAGGCAAAAGATTTGCTGGCTTTGTTCAATTCATTTAAGCCCAAAGGCGGAGTTGTATTTTCTGTAAAGGTGAGAAAATTGATTTTATTTAAAGTAAGTATTTCTAGGTGTTATAACTTAAATCTGACTTTGTTTCTAATTAAACTGACTTCATTTTCCTCTTCGAAAAAATATTTTATTGATCTGGAAATTGTCCAATACATTTGAGTATGAAACTTAATTAACAGGTAGTAAGAAGGGAAAAGCAAATC